TCACCAAGCACCTTTTATTTATTGAGAAAGGATTGGTTATGTTGTTGAAGTTGTTGGGTTGTGTTGGTATTGTTGTTGATTGTGATGTTGAGATTCTTGTTGATTTTGGGACTTGTTTCCGGTTGGGTTTTGAGTTGTAATCCATGGTATGTTGAGGGATATGATGATCCTTAGTGTTTGGGGTTGAAGACCTTTGGAGTTAGGGTGGTTTAGAGTTGGAAAAGGAGGGAGAAAAGTCGAGTTTCTAGGCAAGGGGGCTGGCGCGTCGCGCCTGCCAGCGCACCCCAAAGGGATTCTGAAGTTTCCCCCTTGGGGCGGCGCGCCTCTTAGAGCGCCAGCAGGCCTCCTCTGAAGTTTTTGGTCTGGCGCTCCGCGCCTCTCAGAGCGCCAAGAGGACCAGGTTTCGCCATTCATTCCCCACTTTCTTATGCATGTTCCTTGGTATTGTACCTATGTTCTGTGGTTGTTTCCAACACTCTAAGTTACATTTAAGCCTCCCGAATTCATCCGTAACATGTGATCAAACACCTTGAATTCATAATTCAATTCAAGGAGAGTTAGCTTCTAAGTCAAGTGAAGTTAGAAGTCGAGTGAAGTTAAGAGTTAAGTTCAAGAGTTAAGAAGCAAGACTTCAAAGTTGTTCAAGAGTCTTTATTGAATGTTTTAACTTCATTTTAAGCCAATTCAAGTGAAGTTAGTTTCCGATTCAAGTGAAGTCAAGCTTAGAAGTTAAGCAAGTCTTTAAAGCTTTTCAAGAGTAACGTTTTAACTTCATTCTAAGGCTCTAGTCAAGCAAAGAACCTAGAGTTTCAAGTTAAGTCAAGAGCATAAAGTTGAGTTCATTTCTCAAAAGCTATTAGGGAACTAAGTATTCCCAAAGAAGTTTATAAATTTTTTCACATTTAAGATGAGAGGAAACTGAGATTTCCAAAAGAGTTTTGAGAAGTTTGAGTACTATCTCTTTTTGAGAAAAGATGAGTTTTGCAAAAGAGTTTCTAAAACATGATTAGTATGGAAAATTGAGTATGTCATGAATGATTAAACAGTATGGTCTCTAGATATACCATCAATGTTTAAGCAGTATGAATATCCCGAGTCATCAATGATCATATTAAAAATATGGTTTTGAGATGTTCTTTTTCGAAAGATTTTCAAGAAAAAGGAACTATGATTCCAAAGGAGCCTTTGGGCTAGATTTTGAGTAATTATCTCAACTAAATAAATATATGTTTAAAACACTTATTAGCTAAAAGCATTTTGGGAGTAGTATCGAGCATCGATTTGGGGACACGAGTTCATATTAAACTCAACTCTCCATAAGAACCTTGTAGCCGTCTTGGGAGTTAACGGGTCATACTTTTTAGATGAACCCGTAAAGTTAAGCTAGTGGATCCACTTAGTAAAGTTAGTTTCCTATATCACGGCAAGGTATAGGATGATCATCGGGCAACGTGAGGTAAAACGCTGTATCACTACTCAGATTCATAGTGGTAGTTTGTCGGTTAGGGAAGCTCCCACAGTAGAAGAGCATGGTTCCTCGAGGGTTCTACTTAGTATGGATGGGGGTATGGGACTTCATTCATACATTGCACAAGTAGACCTCGAGAGGAAGCATGGTATTTTCATGATATTATAAATATGATTTTGTAACGACTCGGAAAATGATAGAGTGAAACTAGAGCCTCACATGTGAGTTTGGAGTCGAGAACTTAATGAAATGATTATATTTGAATTT